CATTACCAAACAGATTTGCTTCTCTTCTATTGAAAATAAGTGAAATTATTTTTAACTTTAAATATGGACCAGTATCTACAAAAATAAGTTATTAAAACCCAAGATTTAGGAAATAGCTAGGAATTACAAGTTTCTTAATTACCGTAATAAGACATTTTCAAGAAGTTAAACTATCATCAGTATCGGGGGAGGGGGAGAAGTGTTGAAATTACTTTCGTATTTTTCCTAAAGCAGCTTAGTAAGGTTGTGCAAAGTCATACATTCCGCAGTATTACAGGATCTTGAATCTGCTGAACTCTGTGACTTGATTCACCTCCCCCGCCACCCTCTCTACCCTCAGTATTACCCTTCTGGAATGAATTTCATCAACCCTGTTTTGTAAATCTGATGTGAAAGAGTTTCATGGGACCCAAAATTGCAGTTCGCTAGATTTGTTTTTTAACTTTTGCAAGGTTTGTCACCGCAGTTGCATGCTAATTCACATTTTAGATAAGGGTTGTCTGCCCTTTTGTATGTCATTTTTTTTCATTATGCAGTAGCAAGAGTCACTCTTTTAATCCTACCAAAAATTTAACACTTTCTTTATTTCGCACTTGGATTACTTCAGAATTGAAGCATTTTATCTACATGCTTGACCAGTGTTGTAGGGATGAAAGCCATGCAGTCCCTGGGGGATATACAAAGACGAGGGTCAGCGAAATCAGGTTGTGAATCCACTCAGTGCCCTTTGAGTGCTGGCATTTCCATTTTGATCTCTTGAATTTAAATTCACATTACTGTGAACAGCAGCCATTGACTGCCCACAAAAGTAGCATCATAGTTCAGATGTAACATCATGCATATGTTACATTTGTTTATGGAAAAATTTAGGTTCATGGTTATCTACTATTAGGCCTCTCCTCTGGAGAAGTACCGTCCTGTTCCATTAATTTGGACTCTAATTTTTAGCTTTGAATAACTACATTTTAAATCATTTGGGGGCAACTGTAAGACTGCTTAGGACAGTTATGAAATAGAGTAGACATTCAATTAATTCTTTGAAGAAGCTAACATTTATCAAGAGCCTGCCATATGCCAAATTATGCCAAATATGTTTAAAAATATATATATTTATTTTGCCTTTAATATTTATGAAAACCTTAAGATGTATAGGGATGAAGACAGTGTTATCAATTTTGGAGCTGAGATTCAAAAGAAGCTGGGTCTGTCTAACTTTAACACTCAAGTTCTTAGTATATTCCAGATGATTTTGAGATGTTCAGCTTCATCACTCATATGAAATTGACTTGAATCTCTATATTGCGAAGACGTTGGTATGGTATTTGACATGTAAGACACAGTGAATCATTTCTATTTTTATCTCTATCACCCTATTGGATATTTTTCTCCCCTGTCCTCATTTTTTCTGTTTAGTACCTTTGCCCCTTCTTATTCTTTTTTCCTTCAGTTTCACATTAAGAGAATTGGGGAGGGGGGAGGCAGAGGGGAGAAAGAGGGGAAAAAATGAAGCAAATACAAAAACAAGGATAAATAAACCAAGAAATATGGAAGAAATGGAGCTAGGAAATAATACTTGTCTCCGGCTTTTGATTTCCAGGTCATATTTATATAACAGCCACAGAAGGGTTTTAGGAGAGATTTAAACCATTAGATATCAGTGTGAATGCCAAGGTCTTAATGTATGAGATCAGCCCCTCAGTGTAATCAAGTTTTGTCTTTTAATTTTCCTAAAATTATTGAGTGAATACATTTATGTATTCCTTCATAATTCTTTCTTTCCCAATTAAAAAATTTCACTCATATTGATTATTTCTACCATTGTGAGAAGGGATTTTCTGCCACAGAATCCTTTGAGTGTTCTGATGACATCAGATGTAATAGGTCTAAAGTAAAATTCATTGTCTTTATTCCTTCTCTACCAAGCCTACCGCCTACCTCATTTAGCCCAATCTGAATGTGGTACCAAAATTCCGGTATCTGAGGCAGAAACCTTAGTGTCCTCTTTGATTCCTCTCCCTCTTTCTAGTTGATCTGTCTCTGGAGTCCCCTGCTACCCATCTGTCAACGAGGCAGGCAGCTGGTCTCATCCCTTATCAGTTCAGACTTGAGTTCCTCTCCCAGCCATTTAGCTGGCCAATGTTGTCACCATCTCTTCAGTCTCAAAACTATCTCACCTATAACTGGCTTCTAAGAAAAAGTTTTTACATCATTCCTCTGAGAAGCCAGCAGTGATTCCATATCCAGGCTTCTTTGACTACATTTTGGGTGTAATCCAGCCTTCTCTTACTTATTTCAGTTGAGATTCCCACTAGTAATGATGTTGTATACTCCCTTTTTCAGTTAGATAATGTTCTTATTAGATAATAATAACTACATATAGTAATTTTATGGAGTCTGCTGTGTGCCAGACACTGTTCCACATGCCTCACATTTATTTCACTATTCCCAGTTTAGAAAAGCTCACTGAAGGCCTGTAACTTGGTCAATGCACTCACAATCATGATTGACTCTTAATGAATGCTTCATAAATACTTTCTTTTTCTGTACTGCGCTCCCTCTTCCCACATGCCATACTTAGTTCTACTGTCTTGCCTTTATTCATGGTGTTCCCTGTTTCTAGAATATTCTTTCTCTTTGGTGTATCCAATTAATATCAACCATCCAAACACTTCCTTGACTAATTCTCATGGGTCTGTCTTGTGGTCAAAATCCTAATTTATTTATAAGAGTTTCCGCATAGTTTATCATGTAGCTAGGCTCAATGTAATCAAGTTTCATCTTTCAGTTTTCCTAAAATTGTTGAATAAATACATTTACATATTTTTCTCTTCTCAAATAGACTATAACTTTCTGGAATGTTTAGCCCATACCTTAAGTTTTTTCTTTTCCCACAGATCTCAGCACTGTGATGGGCACATATGTTTAATATATATAAAAATACCTAGTGATTAGATATGAAAGAGCCAAGGCCATCTACAAGACTTTCATGGGAAAATGCCTTCTCATAGTTGCACATAAATACACCACAACCAAAAAAGAAATACAATGGATTCAGGTATAGAAGTATATAAAGCAGATAAATATAGAAAGAAATTTATAATCACATTATTTGGAAATACTGAAAACTATCATTTTTGAGCACTTATTGTATGTAGGGCACTGAGCTAAGTGTTTTACATTCATTATCTCTTAAGTCCTTAGAACTAAGTTATTAGGTAGATGATCAGCTGATACTCAGAATGTTAAATAACAGCTCGTAAGCCACAGAACCTGGTTTAAACCCAGGTATTCTCAATTTTAAATGCATGTACTATAATAAACACTGTACTGCACGTCACCTTGTTCAGTCTCATTATTGCTAGGGTTTTTGACACCTGAGAAATATCCCAGTTTAAGTTCATTAACTTTATATTAGCTCATGCTTGTGAAGGACTTATTGCAGTTTCCAACGTAAAGTAAACATTCAATAAATGGTAGCCTTTAATGTTGCTATTACTCCAATTTACACTAAAGTGCTCATGATACTATCTTTCCTCTTATGCAAACTTAGCTTTAAAGGTTGAATCAGCTATTGAGTACCTTTGTAAAATCTGAATATATGTGTATGTCTACACACACACATATTTGGGGTTTCATGGGGGCAAAGAGGTTTTAGAGAGTGAGAATTACAAGTGAGCTACTTTAAACTATTTCCAGTCATCTCTGTCCAGTAGGACGGCTGCACAGTGAATCTGGAGGCATGCCTGTCTGAATTCACAAATGGGAATTAGATGATGGATGTCAGAGATATCTGCAGTTGGCCCTCAAGGTTTTTGAAAAGATTTTGAGTATTGATCTATTTTGTATGTTTTCCCAGCACAAGATTTCAGGTCCTCCTTTCAAGATCTGTCATCTCATTTTTCTGCAGATGGAGACTGACAGGATCATAGAAGGTGGTGTCAACACTCAAGTTCTTATTTTTGTGTATACTCTGTGCACTTTAATTATGGAATTTAAGAAATAAAAGTTGCAGTTTAATGAAAATAAGTGAAAGTGAAACCCTTTTACTGAAATGTTTATATTTTGGTATAATTTCAAACTTAGAAGTTATATAAGAATAGTACAAGGAACTCCTGTATACCCTTTAACCTATCTTAAAATTGGGTAATATATGTTAAAAATAGGCTTTTTTCTTTATTGTAGTATTTGCTAATTACATGTAATAGATCATGTTCAGTTATCATAGTGGTAGAACAAATTATAAATTTTGTTGACTGGGCCTCCTTTTTATTTTAATGCTTTCTAAAAGTTGTTTTTAATCAAGATTCCCTTTCAGCATAATGTTATCCATAGAAATTTCCATCTCATTGCATCCAGTCCCTGGTGTTTGCACCTTGTACTTGTGATATTCTTACAGATCAATATGAAAAGATTTATTCATTTTAAAGTTTAAGTAAATCCCAGTTTGGAGTTTGGGGATAAAAAGGTTTTCATTAAGATGAAATCAGGTACTATTTTAATCAGGTTAGAAATATTATGAGAACATTCAGCAAATCCCAAGTGTGAAGAATCTAATTAAATAGGGAAAAAAATGAGCCTTATTTTATTTTGCAGCTGTAGAATTCCAACATTTTAGTGTCAACATGGAAGAGCTTTTTTTCTGGTTTAATTTTAAAATGATGCTTGAGTTGGCTGCATTAAACCAGTGTAACTAAAGGTATTTGTAAATTTAATGCCCAATATGCTGTTTCTTAGTTAAATCTTAGCAGAGGAAATTTAAATATTCAAACTAAGATTTCACCAAAATAAGTACTTGTTTTCATATTATTCACACTATTGTTAGAATCAAGGAAAATAATGTGAGAAAACATCTTAATTACAGAGGAGAAAAATATTACACAACATGTAAGGTATTTTTATAGAAGCAAACAAGACAACAAAAACAGTCTATATTCAATACTTTTTCAATATTGTTGGCACGAAATTATACAGAATTTAATATATATGCATTTTATTTTCAGATTCAAAACGCTAATGATGTATTAATTGCGCCACTTGAGAAATTTCGAAAAGAACAGATAGGTGCAGCAAAAGTAAGTGTTACATTTTATTCTTCAGGTATTGTCTTGATAATTAAAGATGACATAATTTCAGATGTTAATGTTTTTGAAATTAGAATGACCTTTAAAAAAATTGTGTATGTCACTTTAAGCTTTTTGCACAGAGCCTATTACAAAGACTGGAATTCTTTTTAACATTTAAAGATATTATTCTTCTACTGAGAAATAGCATGTTACAATTGAGTTCTTCCCATCCTAGCAATTGCAGGAACTTACCTATTTTGAAGAGAGGATGACATTACAGTAAAATTATGAGAAGCTTTGTTCCTAACTCCTAAATAAAATAAAAATCAGGCACATGGTATACTGAAAATTGAGACAGTAATTATATAAAAAATTTTATTGTGTTTTTTCATTGTTAATAAAAATATGTGTTTGTTGAAAAACTTTAGAAATGTTTGTCGCAAAGCCTTTGTATTAATTTTTAATTGATTATGGACCAATTACAATTTCCCTGAGCCTGATCATCTGAAATTTCCTTGCATCTTTTTTCTTAGATCCATATTTTAACCATGGAAGCTCATAGAATTTAGGGTTTCCAAAATAGAACTTATCTCCTATCCTTCCCCTGTCCTTTCTCTGTTTGGGTTTTCCACGTAGTCAACGACATACCCCTTCTCCATTCGACCAGAGCTGTCCAGTCTACTGCAGAATTATTTCTACTCCTTTCCTCCTCTCCTTGTGTCTGAAATGTTTGAAATAGCCTACTAGTTGGTCTCCACACCTCCATTCTAATCTGTCAAGAAATTTTTGCCATCTTTGATTATATCATTCTTCCAATGATAAAACCTTTAATGGTTCTCCTTGACAGTTTAATCCTGATAATGAAAACTTTCCACAGCTTGGCCACTTGCTACATGTCAGTATTCACCACCACTAGGCACAGTTCACCCATCTCTGTATATACCTGCCTTTTCTATGTCTTTGCCTAGACTTTTCCCTCTCCCTGGACTATTTGTTACCATTTGCTTTTCGAAGTCTTGTCAGCTGTCCATGATTACTTCATATCCCAGCATGAGAAAGAAGCCTTCCCTCCTGTATCCATTCTCCTTCCGGAACTGTTCTTTTATTCTTTTCATAAGATTGAGTAGTCCATGTACTTATTTCCTGTAATACGTTATCATAGTCTGCCTTGAATTAGAGTTTTATGTGCATTTCTCCTCCAATTGTGAGCAATTATCAAGTGAAGGACTAAATCAGAACCATTTTGCATTAGTTAATTCAGGAAATATTTATCAATCTCATGGTTGGCCCACATGTCGCAAGCATGGTGTTTGATAAGATTAAGGGATACAGCTGTAAACAAGACAGACATGATCCCTGCACTTATGTCCTGATTATCTTTTGTGGAAAAAAGACATCGAAGTAATTAGAAATATGCAGGACACTTTGCCAGGGTATAATTAATGGACTTGACTTTGTCCAGAGAATCAGGAAAAGCATCTGCAGGAAGTATTGGTTAAATAGAGACCTAAAAGATGCAAAAGAAATAGCTAGGAATGGGTATTCAGTGGCAGGAAGGAAAAAGCCTTTCAAATATTCAAGAAGAGGGAACAGAATGGCTATGAATAAAAGGCCTTGAAGGTGGTGGAAAGAGACTGACGTTTTAATGGAGTATAGAGGACCCTGGAGGCAGAGGCCACGGGCACAGCTTTGTTAACAGTTCACGGTATTTTACTCCTTACCCTAGGGGCACTGACAGGCAACAGAAAACTTGTAAGCAAGAGAGTGCTATTATATTTGTATTTTTAAATGTCACTCTAGCTGTATGGCACGCCCAGATTGGAGGAGGCGTGACTTCCTGTGGCAAAACAGTTTGAGGGCTATTGATAGTGGCCTTAGACTGGGAAGTTGGCAGTGGCTGTGAAGACAAGGAGATGTATGAGAGCTGTGTCCTACCGGGAACAGTAGGAAATGGGTTACATATTGGAAAGTGAGGAACAAGAGGTTCCAGTTTGCATACGTGGATGGTTGTTGGACCACTTACTGAGAGAGCAACATTTATGTTTGGCAGTGATGGTGAGTTGAGCTTTTAATCATAATGAATGAATTTGAGGTTCCTCTGAGACATCTAAATGGAGATGTTGAGTTGACAGATATATGTTGAGATATGAATTAGAAATATACATTTGGGACTTGTGTCCTAGGCATTAAGTAAAATCATGGGAGCAGATTAGATCCCTCTGAGAAAGAATAGAGTGAGAAGTCAAGAGGACCCAGGACCTTTACAAGCTGAAAACACTCAACATTTCATGTTTGGGGAAAGAAAGACAGGAAAGGAGGCTGAGAAGAAAGGGACAAAAGACACCCACATCTGCACAAGCCCATTGATGACCCAGTTGTTCCCTGACCTCACTGGGAGGAACTTGGCACTCGGAATGGATGCCCTCTTGCAGATATGCCCAGACTGTCTGAGGAATGAGATGGACTTTACAAGGCCAAAACAAGCCCTCTGGAAAAAGCACACTGACCTGATACCTCGTTGGCAACATTTCCTGATCTGTGGGCAATTTATTATATTAAAAAAGAACCTCAAGCATTATCGGGGGAGGAGCCAAGATGGCGGACAAGAAAAGCCAGCAGTCAGAATGTCTCTGCAAAAAAGACGAATTTTAGAAGAAAGAGAAAAAAAATAAGCGAGCAGAAAAACATAGATCGGGTGAGGGTCGGAAGGAAGCGTGCCTGAAACTACAGGACACTCCATGGGAAGATGTTACGGAGGAGAACTGGAAGGAGAAAGGTCCCGAGAGGCTTGGAGACCAGTGACAAGGGTAGGTGGAGTGGTTAACTTCCCCCTCCCTTGCATCTTGGCTGCTGGTGGGCTCCTGAGCAGTTGGAGAGACCTGCCGACACCAGCCCAGAGACCGCTGCTGCCAGTGAGCTGTGGCCTCTTGCGGACTCAGCGCCGGGCTCCCAGCCCGCTCGGGGCACCTCCCTGGGTTCAGATCGGAGTCTAGTGGCAGACGCCATACTGCTCCATTCTCTCCTTCCCCCTCCCTACCCGTGCGTGCCCAGAGAGACAATTTAGCCATCACACGGAGGCATCTCCAAGGAACGGGACCTTTCCTTTTGGGGCCGTACAGCAGACTGAGGGGTACTCAGACTGCGAGTTCCCTACCCGCCAGCCCTCCCAGGTGCTACTTGCCTGGGGACTCCAGGAGAGCGGGGAAAATCCTGAGGTGGAGTGAAATCAATCCACTTTGGGTACCCTCTAGGTGATTCAAGACCAGCACCCCTCCCCCTGGCAGGGTCAGGGATTGATCTCCAGAGCCCAGGGGACAGGCCTGCAGACTAGACCCCATACACCTAGGTCACGATTGCACTGCCCCTGCACAGAAGAGAGATCTGTGAAAGAGCCTACTGAGGAGTGTGTGCCTTGAGGGGCAGATCAGCGTGCAGGAGCGGCAACTCTCCTCCCAAAAGAGGGCTGTGCACCCAGCTCAGGCTACGATCCTGGGTAGGGAAGCGCCCGGCCCACGTCACAGCCAGCGGAGATACATCGCCCTGAGGTCCCGCTTGCCGGCAGAGGCCTGGGAGAGGCCACGGAGAGGGAGAGGGTGGAGGGGAGTGAGACCTGCTCCAGAGTGCAGGTCTTGGACAGCCCCAGCCCCCAAACCCAGACTTTCAGCTGAGTGGACCCATTTCAGCCCCTCCTGGCAGCTCTACACAGAAACAAAGAGCAGACCTTTGACCCCTGCTAACAGCAGCTGTGGAGCCTGAGGGCAGGCTTACCCAACCCAGCCCCACCCAGACTAACTCCTGGTCCTGTCCCAAGTCAGGTGGAGAATAAGGACACACTTGGAAATCCCAGGGCCCCAGCCACCACCTGAGGCACAAGAGGGCCTGTCTAGAGGAACAAGAGCTAGCTACAGGACCCAAAAACAGCACCGCAACTCACTCCTCCCTGCAAGTGCCACCTACTGACAGGGAGGTCATCCTGCACACCCTTTTACTGCATCTACTGATTCATCATAAAGGGTGTGGTCGAATCTCACCCACAAACACCCCGGGCTGGCTCAGAGACTAAACAGGGCGTGTCATTATCCAGACAACAATCTAAAGGCAAGAAGGAACAACTGATCCAGATGGGAAGGAACCAGCGAAAGAACTCTGGAAGTATGAAGACTCAATCGGAAAGCACATCCCCAAAGAGGAACAACAGCTCCCCAGCAATGGACATTAACCAAACTCAGAACACTAAAATGACAGAAGAATTTCAAACATGGATTGTAAGAAAACGGAATGATATGCAAGAAAAAATGAATAACTAACACAAAGGAACCACAAAAAAAATCCAGGACTTGGAAGAAAAATTCACTAAAG